CTCCACTGGCTGCCATTCAAGGTTCAGATTCTTACCTATAAAGCCCTGAATGGTTTGGGACCCGCCTACCTACGTGATCGCATCTCTGTATACAAACCCACACGATTCCCTTCAATCTTCCGGAGAGGCCCTGCTCTCAATCCCACCAGCATTGCAGGTGCGTTTGGTGGGGACGAGGGAGAGGGCGTTTTCGGTGGTGGCCCCTCGACTCTGGAACTCACTCCCTAAAGACATCAGACAGGCCCAAACCCTGGCAGTCTTCAGGAGGAGCTTGAAGACATGGTTATTCCAGTGTGCCTTCCCGGAATAATGAATCCCATAGCACTTTGTCCTCCAAAGCACTCTACATTTCCCTGAGTCCGCTTGTATGCCCTCCACAAACACTAGTATCACCTTTCGCTTCTGGCCAAGCATTATTTCCCATTTTAACTCTACATTTGGCCTTCCCACTGTTTTAATTATGTGTTGCTTTTTAATAATGTTGTGTATTTTATTGTCTATGTTTTTTAATTGCTTGTATCGATGTTTATTGCTTTTGTTGTTGTGTTGGGCTCGGCCTCACGTAAGCCGCACCGAGTCCATTGGGGAGATGGTAGCGGGGTACAATAAAGTTAATAATAATAATAATAATAATAATTAATAATAATAATAATAGTTTAATCTAGCAAGTTATTTCCAACCTGTTGTCAATTCTGCTGTCAATTCCTATACATATTGACAAAGGATATTTGATACTTGTGGGTAAACTTAGACTCTAGACACAATGCTCTTATGTGGAAGGAGATGGATATTCAGACTGTACAGCCATCCATCCACAGTAGTGGTTTTGACTTTTGCAGATGTGATTGACAGATTTGCTTAAATCTACTTCTTTCAGTCATGCTGGAGGTTCTAAAGCAGTGGTTCTCAACCTGTGGCTCCCCAGGTGTTTTGGCCTACAATTCCCAGAAATCTCAGCCAGTTTACCATCTATTAGGATTTCTTGGAGTTTAAGGCCAAAACATCTGGGGACCCACAGGTTGAGAACCACTGTCCTAAAGAGTGATAGAAACAACTCCTCTCTAGGACTGTCTAGCTCAGGACTGTCAAACTCACTTTCACCGAGGGTCACATCAGCCTTCTGGTTGCCTTTAAAGGACTGTTTGTAATTGTAAGATTGTATAGATTGTATTGTGGCCCTGGCATTGAAAGCCTCACCGGCCACATAAAACGACATGGCAGGCTAATTTTGGTGCATGGGTTTTGGTGCAATGGACACATGGCAAGCTGTTTAACATCAGCAGACTGAAAGCCAAAACCAAGGTTTCAACATAGAACTTCAGTATGCCGATGACAACGTAATCTGTGTGCATTCAGAAGAACACCTACAAGCCACTCTAAACACCTTTGCAGAAGCATACGAGAAGCTCAACCTGTCAATAACATTGAGAAAACCAAAGTGCTCTTCCAGCAGTCACCAGCCAATCCTTCTCCAATGCCAGAGATACAGCTTAATGGTGTAACATTAGAAAATGTTGACTATTTCCACTACCTTGGCAGCCACCTCTCCATCAAAGTCAACATTGGCACTGAAATATCACACTACCTGAGCTCTGCGATTGCAGCATTCTTCCGAATGAAGCAGAGAGTGTTTGAGGACTGGGACATCCGCAGGGATACCAAGGTGCTTATCTATAAAGCTATTGTCCTCCCAACCCTGCTATATGCCTGTGAGACGTGGACTATCTACAGATGTCACATGCAACTCCTGGAATGATTCTATCAGAGCTGCTTCTGAAAAATCCTACAAATCTCTTGGGAAGACAGGCGGACAAATGTCAGCGTGCTGGAAGAAGCAAAGACCACCAGCATTGAAGTGATGGTCCTCCGCCATCAACTCCGCTGGACTGGCTACGTTGTCTGGATGCCTGACCACCGTCTCTCAAAGCAGTTGCTCTATTCCGAACTCAAGAACAGAAAACGGAATGTTGGAGGACAGGAAAAGAGATTCAAAGACGGGCTCAAAGCCAACCTTAAAAACTGTGGCATAGACACTGAGAACTGGGAAGCCCTGGTGAGCCCGAGCGCAGCAGGGAGCCCCGCCTTCACGTTGGTGTGAACCGCAGCGGAGAGTTCCGCAGTTCCTGGATCAAATTTGGGGACCAACAGATGAAATGTGCCCCCGCAGCCAGCTCAAAACCAGGAATGCCTGCAACTTTCCTCTTGCTTTCCCTTCTCCTTACTTTGTATCATTCCCCTAATAAAGGTACTTGAAACTTGCAACTTTTAATCTCTCCACTTGATACTTTTGTATCTTTCCTTGACTCTAACCAAAGCAACACTGAAATAAACCTTTTTCCAGGCTCCGGAGATCCGTGAGCCTGCGGGGGGCGCCTCTGGGCGCCCCCCGGACCCCGAATCTGCATCCGCCCAAACCGCGGATACGAAAACCGCCATTTTGGACCCCCCTATCCGCGAAAATTCATAAAATGGCGGATCGCCGCCGTTCCAATTTTATATTTTTCTGCTACTAATCCTAAGACTAACTGCTATCTCCCTTTTCTCATTTTGGACTCCGACACCTGAGAATAAATTGTTTTTGTTCAAGTATTTTATTTGACAGAAATCGGCTGTTTGTCAATTTGGCCGGTTTTCTTCCAAGATAGCCCGTTTCTCCTCAGCGCTGCTTGCTCCTGCCTGGATCCAGCAACCAGGGACCCACTGTGGTCACCCATAGGAGACCCCGGGAAGGCAGCCAGGCGTGGGTCCCAGTCTCCAGCGAGAGAGACATAGTTTCCCAAAGAACGGATAAGGGACGCTGGCACCACTTCAACCCGGAAATCATCCTTGGACTCTTTTTGCCCTCTCCTATTGACTTTCTGCTCCACACTTCAGACTGTTTATTATCTTTGGACACAAACCTCCCGATGGGGTCTGCCTTGAAGTACAGGCAGCCTCCGTCTCCGCGCACCTCCATCGAGGGATCATGAAATCTCCGTTTTGCTTAAATAATAATAATAAAAAAAAATCAATTATTTTAATAAACTTTGCTTGGGGTGGGGATGGGATTGCCTTATGAAATGTATGTAATGAAGTATCATATGAAGTATACTGTGTTCCCCCTTCCTGCCTTTCCTGCTGACCCTTGCCCCATAAAGATGTGACCTGGGGATTACTGTCTTGGGGAGAAGCTCCTTTGTTCTCCCAAAACCCTTCCTGATTGATTCATTTGCATGGACCATACTGTTGATCCCCCAACCCTGGCCCTCGGAGCAGACCAGCGAGGGGAGGGGGTCAACAGAAACTCGGAAAGAAAAGATTGATTAAATCACTCAGGTATCGTTGATCCCCCTGAGGTCCGATATCGAAAAAGCCTTTTCATGTTTCCTCCAAATCCCATCCCAGACCAGGAAACTCATTGTTCCCCTATCTGACACACCGCCTGTGAGGACAAAAGCCTCACATTCCAGCTGGCGGATGCCCCTAGGCTCATTATTTCCTCAGCCATTGTCAAGCTTCGTCCCACCTCCAAGCTGCCAATTGGTCCATCTTCAGAGGCGCTAGGAAGGCACTGATTGGCCCCCCAGAGGCGGCGGAGCCCACTGATTGGTCTAGAGGTGGGGTGTGCCGCCAAGCCTCCTCCCAGCTGTTCCGCGGCCAGCCAATCAGCGCGAAGCCGGCCGGCAGAGGGCGGGCGGGAATTTTGAAACTGTTTTCCTTTGTCTGCACTCTATAAAAATACTTGGAAATTCTGTAAAATTATGCTTGTATGTGAATGATCACTACAATCGCATCCTTTTCAGCTGAATCGCAAAATAAACGCCTCGGTCACTGAACTTCTTCCGCCTCCGGTGAGATTAATTTTAAATATTTTTATATTCTTTGGATTGGCTTCCGCTGGCCTCACCGAGGTTCAAGGATCCTTTGAGTGGTCCTAAGGGATCTCTCCCGCTGGGAGACCCCCCAAAAGAGCTCGATATCACTGGCTCGTGAGCGCTCCAGCTGGAGGTCAGCTGTGACCAGCAGTGCTGCAGAATCTGAAGAGGCCTGAATAAAGGGCGAAAGAGAGAAATGTGCCAAGAGGAAGGCGCATCAAGCCAACCCTGACAAGGACCACCTTCCACCTGGAAACCGATGCCCTCACTGCGGGAGAACATGCAGGTCAAAAATAGGGCTCCACAGTCACCTACGAACCCACCCCCAGGACACCGAACAGTTCTCGATGTCTATGCCACAGTTTTAAAGGTTGGCTTTGAGCCCATCTTTGAATTTCTTTTCCTGCCCACCAACATTTTTGTTCTTGAGTTGGTAGTAGAGTAACTGCTTTGGGAGACAGTGATCAGTATTTGGACAACTTGGCCGGTCCAGCGGAGTCGATGGCGGAGGACCATTGCTTCAGTGTTGGTGGTCTTTGCTTCTTCCAGCATGCTGACATTTGTCTGCCTGTCTTCCCAAGAGATTTGCAGGAGTTTTTGGGGGCAATGCTGATGGAATCGTTCCAGGAGTTGCATGTGATGCCTGTAGACAGTCCACATTTTACAGGCATATAACAGGGTTGGGAGGACAATAGCTTTATAAACAAGTATCTTGGTATCTTTATGGATGTCCCGGTCCTCAAACACTCTGTACTTCATTCAGAAAAATGCTGTACTCGCATAGCTCAGGCGGTGTTGTATTTCAGTGAATTTTGTGGAGAGGTGGCTGCCAAGGTAGTGAAAAGTGTCAACATTTTCTAATGCTGCACCATTAAGATGTACAGTACTTCTGGCATTAGAGAGGGATTGGCTGGTGACTGCTAGAAGAGCACTTTGGTTTTCTCAATGTTCAATTGCAGGCTGAGCTTCTTGTATGCTTCTGCGAAAGTGTTTAGAGTGGCTTGTAAGTCTTCTTCTGAATGCGCACAGATGACCTCATTAGCATATTGGAGTTTTATAACAGATGTTGTTGTAACCTTGTTGTATTTTATCAAATGTTACATGTATTTTAAAGCATTTGTTCTCTACAATTCTGGTTTTTAACAGGGATAGCGACGACAACTCAAATAGCACCTGTAACGATTTGCTGGAAATAGAGTATTTTATACGGTTTTCACTTATTCCATCGGTAAGTGTCTGACAGTTCTTCATGTTTCCTGATCAATGCACATTCTTCTTATGTTGTCTTGGCATAAGACAACCCTTGTCAGTTAATTAAAGTCTCTGACTTGTCTGAAGTATGTTGATGGGTTGGGTTGAATTAGTCTCGGACTAGGCTTCATGTAGAATAGAGTAGGAGTAGGATAGTCATTCACATGGTTTGGACTCCAAATTCCAGCATGCTTCACCATTGTTTAGGCTGCCCAGGGCAGTTGGAAATTATAGTTCAATGATATTTGAAGAGATTCACTATATCCACCCCTGATGCAGAGTGATCAAGGGGTATACATTTGGGGGGGGGGGGGAGTTTCCCAACCCAGGATCAGAGCAATAGTGGGGGTAGAACTTATGCCTCAAAGGAGCTTATTCTATTAACATTTAAAGCAGTGGGCAAGATGGACATTGTATATGCATTTCTGTTTGTTGTGGAGGGGATTTGAAGGTTGTGTAATTTCAAAGGGGTTCTTGCCTGGTGTGCAGGTCTCACCACTCCAGTGATCTGGGGATGTAGTGGACTATAGTTCTGAGTATCCACAATCAATATGGCCATTTTTCTGTCAATGTTGGTTCTTTCTCTACTACTGTGGTGATTTTGTTCTTGCAGGCTTTCATCATCTTAGTGCTGAGTTGTCTTGAGACAAGAGTAAGAAGATGTTGTTTTGATGAAAAATGTCCTACGCTTAGTGGATTTATTGGCGTTGTCACGTAAGTTAGAAAATGTCTTTCCTGATGCTCTTCTAACCTACTGCTAAAAAAGACTAATGCACCATTGGGCTAGAGCAGTGGTAGTGAACCTATGGCATGCATGCCAGAAGGGACATCCAGTGCCCTCTCCCTTGGCACATGCGCCATCTCCAGTTCGCCATCCCACTTGCCCACCTGCCAACCCCCTTGCTTGCCCACTTACCTGTGCCCTGCTTGCCCGCCTGCCTGCCTGCTTGTCCTTGCTTACTCACCCCCTGCTTGCTCATCTGCTTGCCTGTCCCCACACTTGCCCGTTCACTTGTTTGCCTACCTAATAATAATGCATATAAACAAAAATGTAATGTTCATTTGTGGGGTTAACATAACTCAAAAACCACTGGACGAATTGACACCAAATTTGGACACAATCCACCTATCAGGCCAACAAGTGACCATCACTCATAAAAACACTGAAAAACACAGCAGAAGAGACTTAAAAAGCCATTTTAAAAATACATTACAATGCATGTGCAAAACCACATATATACGTAAACACACACATATACACATATATACACGCACAAAACAAATATACACAGACTGGGCCACAGCAGCGCATGGCAGGGGACGGCTATATTTCACCCTATCTTCCCAAGGGGGACTCCAACATACATTTCTAAGCCGAAGAGCTGGCATTGTCAGTAGGCACCTCCAAGGTCATATGGCCGGCATAACTGCATGGAGTGCCGTTACCTTCCCGCTGGAGCGGTACCTATTGATCTACTCACATTTGCATGTTTCTGAACTGTTAGGTTGGCAGAAGCTGGGGCTGACAAGCGCACCTTAATTTATAGAAGCCAACTATAGTTCAACAAGTTGTGCAGGGTGGTTGCGAAGCCAGTGATGGTAACTGGGCTAGCATAAACTAGATTGAATCCAGATACTGTGGTACTCGACCAGAGGTCGGATAGTAATCTTTCCTTGTCTAATCCTCCTCCTCTCCATATAATAATGACCATAAATAAGTCTTCAGTTGTTTTTTGAAGGAGAGGAGGGAGGGGACCAGCTTTATTTCTTTACGGAGAGCATTCCAGAGGTGGATGGTGATCACAGAGAAGGCCCTCTCTCTCGTTCCCATCAGCCATTCTTGGGATGGGGGTGGGATCGAGAGCAGGGCCTCCTCCACTGACACAGTGCCCAAGCTGGTTTGTAAGAGGAGACACGGTCGCTTGCCCTCTCCTGTTTGCTTGCTTGCCCATTCACTTGCTTGACCACCAGCCCCCTTCTTACTCACCCACTCACCTGCCCCCACTTGCCCGTTTACTCGCTTGCCTGCCTCTTGTTTGCTTGCTTGCTTGCCTGCTCCCTTCCCACTCCCTGGTTAGCTTGCTTGCTTGCTTGTCCTGCCCCCCCTTGCTTGCCCCCCAGGAACTGCCCCACTTGCCCCCCTCTACTTCCCCCCCTCCTGCTGAGTGCCCAACCCTCCTCCCCCCAGTTTCAGCACACCATCTCTAAAAGGTTTGCTCTCACTGGGCTAGGAGCATTGCCCCTGTGTGACAGCAGCTTCTCTCTCCATATCTGTTCTAGTGCTTGCAGGAATGGCAGCCTGGCTTTCTTTTGCCACAGATAAAAAGACTTGCAGTAAATGTCCTTAAATTAAGCAATCTCCTTTGCTCTGCCTGGGAAAGAAAATGTCTGGGTTTGCAATTTGTCTTCAAGCTCTCTAAAAATCTGATGGCTCTGAACCAGTGGCTGTCAGTGGCTTCTTATAGCATAAAAATGGTGAGCCCACTCTGATTTTAGAACTGATTTTCATGGAGCTACCCAGAACTTGGAGATCTCTTCCCAAATGAGGTTCAGCACTTAGATATCTTCTTTAAAGTCTGGAACAAAACCCAGAATTGATTTACTGGACCCCAACATCAGAGCTAATGTAGATTGCTTCTCTTACATTGCATTATTCTTGCCAATTTAACCAGTGTGGATGTGCTTAAAGTTATCAATGTTTGCAAACCTACCATTGTAAATGGATAAGGAGTTGAATTGGAAGACATTGATTATTATAGTTTTAATGGTTTCTATATGGATTTTATTACGCAAGTTAAATGTTTGTATGTATGTATGTTGTGGCATCTAATTATTACCAATTTGTACGCCGCCCTGAGTCGCCTTTGGGCTGAAAAGAGTGGGATAAAAATGCTGTAAATAAATAAACAAATAAATAAATACTGTATATCTTCTGATAGTGAATTCAGCAGTTTTACTATGTACTTTGCGAACAATTCCTTCTTTTTATCTCTCTTCAGTTTCTCTCAGTTTAGTTTCATTGGGTGGCGATGGGTTCAAATATTATGGGAGAGGGAGAAAAACTTCTCCCTATCTTGTTGTGCATAGAGACGTGTGTTTGTTTTGGTGCGTGTGTGTTGAGATTATTTTCAGACGAGTATTCTTGGGATGAGAATAGTGTTTGTCCAAATTTTTAAGAGCATCCATATATTAATCTCTAAAATGTCAGGGAATGAGTCATCCCTACCATTATGCAGGAGGAAACAACTGCTTTAAGTAACATAGTGCCATAAAACGGCAGGGAATCGTTATTTGATTTCTTCTAATTGTATTGTTACTCCCAGAGACGAGAAGAAGTATCTTTATTTTCTACTTTGTGTAATGCAATAGTGCAGCAGGGTTGTGGTGTTAATGTATCTTAATTTAAATGGGTGGGTCAGCAAATGTCCTGACATGCCCCTGTTCAAAGGGTATGAGATTCCATAGCTTCATGTCTCTGGATCAAATAGAAAAGCAAGAGATAGAATAAGTCCTTGGAGTGGAATAGACAGCATGAATAGTATGCACCTTTGTAAATCCGCTTTTTAGAAGAAAGAAAGGAAATGGGTTGCTGTGAGTTTTTCCAGGCTGTATGGCCATGTTCCAGAAGCCTTCTCTCCTGATGTTTTGCCCATATCTATGGCAGGCATCCTCAAAGGTTATGAGAATGAGGAGGGATAGACACTCCCAGAAGTTCAAGTTCAGAAAGGAAATTACTTGGAGCAAGCTGCCTATTATCAGAAGAAAGCTTGTATTGCTTTTGGCTAATGACCATTGCAGGTTTCCAAGAAATATAAGAGATGTTCCAGGCAATGGGAATGAGGTGGGGTAGGCACTCCCAGAAGTACAAGTACAGAATTAAACATTGCAGGCTGTTTTTGGTTATCAGTATGTTATTGTTTTATCTACAGATTTCTTAGCATTAAATCTCATTATGGCAGTTATAATAATAATAATAATTATTATTATTTATTTATTTATTTATACCCCGCTACCATCTCCCCAAGGGAGACTCGGTGCGGCTTACATGAGGCCGAACCCGCAATACAAATAATACAAGCAATACAAGCAATAACAGGTACAATACAAAGCAGTTAAAAATAAATCACATACACAAATAGCATAAACATTAAACAAGGTACAGTGCACATTTACAGTGCACAGTTCCCTCTTCATTCTGAAATAACTCTTGTTGGTATTGTCAGAGCTGCCAATATAATAATAATAATAATAATAATAATAATAATAATAATAATAATAATAACAACAACAACAACAATAATAATAACTAATAATAATAACAACCAAGATAATGATGATGATGTTCCAAAACGACAAAGTTTTGGAACATAATACACCAGACATCACGATTGTGGAAAAGAAAAAAGTTTGGATTATTGATGTCGCCATACCGGGTGACAGTCACATTGAGGAAAAACAACAGGAAAAACTCAGCCATTATCAGGATCTCAAAATCAATCTGCAAAGGCCCTGGCATAAACCAGTACAGGTGGTCTCAGTGGTCATCAGCACACTGGGTGCCGTGCCAAAAGATCTCAACCGGCATTTGGAAACAATAAACATTGACAAAATCACGATCTGTTAACTGCAAAAGGCCACCTTACTTGGATCTGCGTGCATCATTTGAAAATATATCATACAGTCCTAGACGCTTGGGAAGTGTTCATCTTGTGATTTTGTGATATGAAATCCAGCATATAGATCTCGTTTGCTGTGACATACTGTGTTTTTGTGTAATTAAAATAATAATAATAATAATAATAATAATAATAATAATAATAATAGTCATCATCATCATCATCATTATCATCATCATCATAACTACTCTGGGACTTCCAAATTCAGACTGACAGAGTTTTGGAGCACAATACTCCTGACCTCATGATCATGTTAGAAAATAGAGTATAGATCGTCAATGCTGTAATCCCAGGTGACAGAATTGATGAAAAGCAACTGGAAAAGCTGACGTGATATGAGGATTTAAAAATCGAACTGCAAGGACTCTGGCACAAGCCAGTAAAGGTGATCCCAGTGGTGATTGGCACGCTGGGTGCAGTGCCTAAAGACCTTGGCCTGCACTTGAAAACAATTGGCGCTGACAAAATTACCATCTGCCAGCTGCAAAAGGCCACTCTACTCGGATCTGTACACATTCTTCGCTGATACATCACACAGTCCTAGACACTTGAGAAGTGTCCAACATGTGATCCAATATGCAGCCAACATAGTGATCTTGTTTGCTGTGTACTAATCTTGTTGTGTATCAAATAATAAATAAATAATTAATTGAAAAATCAGCAGATGACCCAAAATGCAGACTGTGCAAGGAAGCTGATGAAACCATGGATCATCTCCTCAGCTGTTGCAAGAAAATTGCACAGACAGACTACAAACAAAGACACAGCTTTGTGGCTCAGATGATTTTGCTGTGACATACTGTGCTTTTGTGTCAGTATAATAATAATAATAATGTTTATTTATATCCTGCCTTTCTCCCCATGGAGACTCAAGGCGGCTAACAATCCCACAAGATATCAAAAGAAATGCTGTGAGTCACATGAACACTAAATGGGTTGAAATAGCACTATGAAATTTAAAACATGGTTGAGATAAAAAGTGCAAAATAGACCTTCCAACAGGGAGCCTCAGGAAATACAAACTTGTTGTGACAATTCAATTGGACGAGACCTGCCGTAGATTAAGCATCTGACAACTTGGCACAGTTTGAAAGCAGACAGCTGTGGAAACTTGCCAAAGCGTGGAGACAGTAATCACAGTTCTGCAAAAAGCTCACTTGCAATCATTTTTATACTGTCTTGAAAAAAAATGTTTAAAGCAATTTCTTTTGAAGTTAGACGTTTCTATCAAAGTTATGGTTTTACACTTATAGTTTTACACTTAAGTTTGATGAAAGTCCCAAAGGTCTACTGGGGTAGACTGGAGCACCTTGTGGCATCTGTTGGCCCAAACTTTGCAGTTCTTTTTGTAACATATCGTGAAAGGCTGTGGTTCAGAGTAGCATACTGTACCTAAGCTCCAGCTGAAAGGAGACCTTTGCCCATCTTAAAACCGCAATAGTAGAATGAGTCAGAAACAAAAGGCTTCCTCATTTGTAAAAGTAATTTTGCGAATTTAGTTTTGCAACCCGAGATTCCTCCCAAATAATACATTGCCTTCATAAAATATCTAAGCTGGCATTTTATTTTAGGTGTGCTTCAGTGCTATGTTAAGAAGACTTGTTTAAGTTATGGTCTTACTGGTGTTATTATGGTTGTTGCTTTAAAACATGTAGACATTTCTAAATCATGAACAGATATTAATCAAGCACTCCCTGCCTTGATGGTTCATAAAATAATATTTATGATCCAAAAGGAAAAGGATGGGTGGGGTGGGGGGTTCAATCTCTGGAGCAGCGGCTCCTTTTCTGGCTGGTGGATAGAACCAGAATAGCCCTTCCCTTGTCATTAAATTATGTCTGTGTGATGTTAGTACATCTCAACTTCCTGATAGTGATAGAAGCGCAAATGTGCCTCTTTTCAGTTTGGCAGTCCAAGGGTAATAAGAAGCCAGTGAACTCTCAATTTCATCCCAAATCAAATATATTATGTATTTGTGAATTGGGAGAAAAACATCTGAGACTCCTTTAAATGGGAATTTTGTCCTCTTTGGACTTGTTCCGGCAACTTAGGGTACATCTACACTGACCACTTAATGCAGTTTCAAACTGATATTGAAGAAAGTGGTTTCACTGAGGAGATTTTTTTTATCATGTCAGAAGCAAATTGGGACTATACTGCAAGTCGCTTCTGGTGTGAGAGAATTGGCTGTCTGCAAGGACGTTGCCTAGGGAACGCCTGGATGTGTTACCATCCTGTGGAAGGCTTCTCTCCTGTCCCCGTATGGGAAGCTGGGACTGACAGACAGGGGCGGCTCAACCATTACGCAAAGTAAGCATTTGCAGTATAGTTGATTTTGCCCAGGGGTGCTCTTGAGGCACTCTTGGGGGAAAATAGACCTTGACATATGCGAGTTGTTACTGGGATGTATAGTTCACCTACAATCAAAGAGCATTCTGAACTCCACCAATGATGGAATTGAACCAAATATGGCACACAGAACTCCCACGACAAACAGAATCTATCTATCTATCTATCTATCTATCTCTCTCTCTCTCTCTCTCTCTCTCTCTCTCTCTCTCTATCTATCTATCTATCTATCTATCTATCAGTGATTGGTTGGGGGGGGGGGCGCCAAAATACTGTTTGCTTACTGTTGAAAATTACCTAGGGCCGCCTCTGCTGACAGATAATAATAATAATAATAATAATAATAATAATAATAATAATAATAATTTATTTATAACCCACCACCTTCTTGCCAAGGGGACTCGGGGTGGCTTGCATGAGGCCAAGCCCAGCAATACAACAATGCAAATATACACATAAGAATACAACATTAAAATATAAGGAAATAAAGTAAAATAAGCAAAACAGTATAAATAAACACATCAGACAATATGAAATCACCATATTTGAACACAGAAAGTTGATCACAGTGCAGCTCCTGAGCAGATGATTACATGACAGAATTTGTCCTCACACTCCATTTTCACACACAAACATTTTTTAAACCCACTAGTATTTTCTTTAAAAAATGAAAAAATATCTTTTGATTGCTTCTAGTTTAACAGGGGAGGGGGGTACTGGTGTGCCCCCAAACTTTCCTAGTGTCAGTGGCTCTTGGATCTTGCAAGCATTCAAGCATGCCCATTCCTTTGGATTCCTGCTCCCATTATTCCTGGGCAGTGTTAGAAGTGATGGGATAGGCAGTCCCACAACATTTGGAGGTCTCCAGATTTCCCAATCCTGTTGTAAAGCTTCAGTGTCATCTTACTAATCATGATTTTATTATTTTACAGACCCCTTGACAGAAATGTGTACAGCAACCGGTGGTCCCTTGGATGTGCATTTGGAGTTACTGCTAATAAAGTGATGTTCCTGTTTGACAAGGATTACATTCCAGATTTTCTACCGAATTGGGCTGTTGGTAAATGATATACCACTAGTCTATCCTTAGGTCAGATGCAGGGGATACAAATGATATGTTTCTCTTCTTACTCTGGTCACACTATTCAGTTCATTGCTATACTGTAAGCCTTGTTTTGCACTATTTCATATACGAGGGTTGAATGAAAAGTAATGCCTCCACCTTCATAACTCCTCAACAGATGGCAGTACTGGTATGCGGCAGCTACTGGCTTGTTTAGTAGACTCTCCTCTACAGTACCATTTTGACAGGAAGCCTTAGCATTGAATGGTTGTGTTGTTAAAGTGCAAAGTATGGAACCCTGCGTAGACGGTTGGTCAATGCAACTTAAGCAACGTGCAGTCATTGAATTCTTGATAGCAGAAGGTGTCACCCCAAAGGAGATTAATCAGAGAATGCAAGCTGTTTATGGTGATTGTGTTGATGTGAGTATTGTGCGTCGCTAGGCGAGTAAATTTAAAGATGTGGAGGTGGGAACATCTGACTTGTGTGACAAACAAAGAGTTGGATGTCTTGTGACAGCAACCACCAAGTTTCACAAGCAAAAGATTGACAGATTGATTCAGGACAATCATCATATCACTCAGAGAGAAATTTCAAGCATAATTGGCATTTCAAAAAAAAAATGTGGGGTCACATTATTGCTTTGCTTGGCTGTGCACGATGGGTACCCAGGATGCTGATGCCTGAAATGGAAGTGCACAGACTTGAAACTTCAGAGACTGGATCTCACCACCGTACAACATCCTCCATACAGTCCAGATTTAGCACTGTCTGACTTCCATCTGTTCCCAATAATGAAAGAGGATCTGTGCGGACATCATTATGCTTCTGATGAAGATGTTGAGAGAAGTGTGAGACGCTGGTTGCGGAAACAGAGTGTCGACTTCTTCCGTGACGGCTTCAGAAAACTTGTTCATTGTTGGCAGAAATGTATCCAATTGTCTGGTGATTATGTGGAAAAGTGAATAGTGGTAGTTTAAGAGCACATTCTAAGGATTATTTCTGTGTTTGATTTATTAAAATATTCCTATCCAAACCCAAGTAACAAAGGTGGAGACATTACTTTTCATTCAACCCTCGTACATAAAAGACTCTGCACTTTCTAATTCAGGATCAGTTTCAGAGTCCTAAAACCAACTTGGATGGCTAACAACAAATGTTGTCTTCTCTCATCATTTGTCACCCTCCCATAATTTGATGTGATAAACCAAGAACTTGTTTGTTTCTCTGATGCCTTCTGGTAGTAATAGCAAACAGTGCAAGCCTTGGCTTTGCTCATGTGCAGTTGTCTTGATGTTATTGCGGAAGCCCTGAACTGTTGACCTCTAAAACTGAGATTCTTATTTTAAAGAGTGAAAATGCAACAAAATCCAAACTAAGTTGATTTCTACTGTTGGCAAATGGTAGCAGCTGAATTCAAGTGTGAAAATCTGTACAAACAACTACTTAGTTATGTGTGTGGAAGGGAAACCATGCTAGATCAAGGAATATCACTCCAATTGGGGTTATATTTGGATTAGAGTGAAGATCTCCATCAATACCTTTAAAGTGGTTGTTGAAGTGCTTAACCAAAGAAATATGGCAGTTTCTCACTTGTCATTGATGGTCATGTATCTAGGATATTAATTTATTTTTTCCCTTTCTCCTCCCAATATGGAAGGGGAAATGGATGTGGTATGGTCCTCCAGATGGCTAGAGGACTGCGTATCCCTTTAGCTGTATCCAGCACCTTCAGTAATGAAAACTGGAACTACAACTTTTCTCAGAAGCGTCATATCTCCTCTGCCAACTGTAAAAATAAAGTCTTGAAGGAAAAATAATGGCATAAATAGTGCTCAAGGCTTAATTTTAAAAAAGTTTTTGACAGTAGCTATTCTATCAAATACAGTGGGCCTCAATATGGAATACTTACTTACTTAGGCGATCCCTCGTTTTCCGAGGATGATTGTCTTCCAATATTCTTGTGGGTCCGTATGTGGCTGTGGAGCCCTATTCTTGCTCTGCATCTTCTTCTGCAGTGAGGGTATTGGTTTCCAGGTGGAAGGCGGTCTCGGTCGGGGTTGGCTTGACGCGCCTTCCTCTTGGCACGCTTCTCCCTTTCGCCCTCCATTCGTGCCTCCTCAAATTCTGCAGCACTGCTGCAGAATATGGAATAACTGTACTTTGAAAAAGCATTTGGAGAACAGAATGAAAACATGATCCCTTTCTCTCTTTTTGCAGTTTTTTGGGTCATACTCACAGCCATTGAAGTGGGCGTTGCTATGTACCCTTTCTTTGCCTGTCTTTCCTCGAGGTACCCAATTGTAGGAGCTGTGTTAGGATTTCTTTACACAGTAGCATGGTGAGTAGATCATTCATTGGGGAAAATGGCTCGAATGCCACTCATAAGAACATATGGGATCTATATCTTCATAAAACCCAATGGCACTGTGAACATGTCTGAATGCAAATTACATTGACATTATTTAAGTTCACAAAATGGTTTAGTTTGCAAAGTTGCAGGAGGATTGTCATTGACTTCCTTTGGTGTAAGGTGGATGGGTTGTTGTCTGGGGCCAACATCAAAAGAGGGTTTTTGACATTTTATTGCCTTAAATTTGAATGAATGAGTGTAATCTGAAACCTGCAGGAATATTATAGGCAGTCCCCAAGTTTAAAGCATTTGACTTACATATGACTCATAGTTACAAATGGAGGTGAGAAAAAGAGGAAGGGAGAGAAATTTACCCCTTGGAAGGGAAATTCACTCCTGAAAGAGTTATCACAGGGAAAAGGTGTCTCAACTTAAACTTTCTCGCCAATTCTTGTTTCCACAAAAAGTCAAATTGTTCAAAATCAATTATCACGGTGACAGAAAGTGAGCTGAAATAATCAAACAGGGACACAGACAGCAAAACAAATGCCACAGGGGTGTTAACCTTTCCCTGTGCTATCCAAAGTGTGTGTTTGTGTAGATATGTATATGTATGTATGTATGTATGTATGTATGTATGTATGTAGGTGTGTGTATAGGGGTACAGGTTCTGACCTATAAAGCCCTAAACGGTTTGGGACCTGCCTACCTTCGTGACCATACCTCTCTCTGTGAACTAGCCCGAACTCTTCGATCTTCGGGGGAGGCCCTCCTTTTGTCCTTGCCAGTTTCTCAAACTCGCCTTGTGGGTACAATGGAGAGAGTCTTCTCCTCTGTGGTCCCCTAACTCTGGAACTCATTGCCCGGAGACATTAGGAAAGCCCCTACCTTAGAAATCTTTAAAAAGAATATCAAGACCTGGCTCTGCCATTGCACTTTTGGAGAGTAGTTGCATAATCTTAAGCTATTGCCCCCTCAACGTTCTTGTCTTAGGAGTACATCCCCCCTTGCCCGAAGGTCAGTCTATCACCCTATCTCTCTACGAGTTCTCACTCACAAATAATTCTGCTCCTTTATCTCACCCTGAGTTTTTAAATCATTTTATGTACATTTATATTTAATCATTAATCATTTTATGTACATGCGGCCATATTAATATTTAAATATTAATATTTAAATATTTTTTAAATATTGTTTATTATATTAATATGTTTTGTACTTTATTGCGATGCTGTTTATTTTATTGTAACTTGTATCATATTTTATTGTAATTTGTTGTTTGGACTTGGCCTCATGTAAGTCGCCCCGAGTCCCCATTGGGGGAGATGGTGGCGGGGTATAAATAAAGATTATTATTATTATTATTATTATTATTATTATTATTATTATTATTAGGATGTGTGTGAAGGGGTGTGTATGTAGGTGTGTGTGTGTATGTGGCTGAAATTACACTTTAAAATGTACTTGTTCCGACTTACAAACAAATTCAACTTAAGAACAAACCTACAAAATCTCACTTAGAATCATACAATCATTGAGTTGGAAGAGCCCTCATGGGCCATCCAGTCCAACTCCCTGCCAAGAAGCAGGAACATCACATTCAAAGCACCCATAAGAGACTTAGAATCATAGAATCATAGAATCAAAGAGTTGGAAGAGACCTCATGGGCCATCCAGTCCAACCCCCTGCCAAGAAGCAGGAATGTTGCATTCAAACCCCTGACAGATGGCCATCCAGCCTCTGTTTAAAAGCTTCCAAAGAAGGAGCCTCCACCACACTCCGGGGCAGAGAGTTCCACTGCTGAATGCTCTCACAGTCAGGAAGTTCTTCCTCATGTTTCCAGGATGAAGTTTGAAGCCATTGTTCCGCGTCCTAGTCTCCAGGGAAGCAGAAAACAAGTTTGCTCCCTCCTCCCTGTGGCTTCCTCTCACATATTTATACATGGCTATCATATCTCCTCTCAGCCTTCTCTTCTTCAGGCTAAACATGCCCAGCTCCTTAAGCCACTCCTCATAGGGCTTGTTCTCCAGACCCTTGATCATTTTAGTCGCCCTCCTCTGGACACATTCCAGCTTGTCAATATCTCTCTTGAATTGTGGTGCCCAGAATTGGACACAATATTCCAGGTGTGGTCTAACCAAAGCAGAATAGAGGGGTAGCATTACTTCTCTGGACCTAGACACTATGCTCCTATTGATGCAGGCCAAAATCCCATTGGCTTTTTTTGCCGCCACATCACATTGTTGGCTCATGTTTAACTTGTTGTCCACGAAGGACTCCAAGATCTTTTTCACACGTACTGCTCTCGAGCCAGGCGTCCCCCATTCTGTATCTTTGCATTTCGTTTTTTCTGCCAAAGTGGAGTATCTTGCATTTGTCACTGTTGAACTTCATTTTGTTAGTTGGCCCATCTCTCTAATCTGTCAAGATCGTTTTGAATCCTGCTCCTGTCCTCTGGAGTATTGGCTATCCCAATTTGGTGTCGTCTGCAAACTTGATGATCCTGCCTTCTAGCCCTTCATCTAAGTCATTAATAAAGATGTTGAACAGGACCGGGCCCAGGACAGAACCCTGCGTCACTTGTTCATAACTTGGGGACTGCCTGTATTTAGTTAGCTCTCTGCATTCATGGCTTTGATCACGTTGGCTAGACCTGTTTTTCTATCTTGGTGGACTAAGGAGCCATAAGTTTGAACTCATTGTATGAATGTGTGTGTGGTGGACTCAAGCTTCAGGAGGGAGAAACACAAAGAATCATCACTACTGTCAACTCCTGTTCCTGAAGTCTGAGGTTGCTGAGTGCACATTCACAGCAACTTTGGGGCAGTTGATAGTGCCACAAACCCATCTATTGAAACCTAAGGCCCCTTGGTGCACATTCACACAGCAATTTCAGACTTTGAAAGAAAGAGAGGAAGAGTAATCACTGCCATGAACTACCTTTTGAAGCCTTGGGCTTCTCCATGTGTATTTGCACAGAATTCTCAGATTTCTGGAGCGAGGCAGAGAGGGAGTGATTGGGCGGTTCACTAGTATTTAGGTGGGCAGAGATAGATGTAGGAAGGGCAAAAGGATGGGCAAGTGAAGAAAAAGTCAGTGAGGGCAGGTGAGTCCCCTGTGGAGTTTGACATTGGCCATTGCCACTAAGAGGAGTGGAAGAAAGTGTGCCTTCTGGTTGCCCTTCCAGGCACCTTCCCTGCCCTGCATCTGTGAGTAACATGTCTACATTCACCCCCACTGTGAGAGAAAGAGGCAGTGGAGGCTGATGGAAGATTTGCTATCCTTGAGAGGGTATCAGAGATACTCCCTTTTTGAACTTTTGTGGAGGACATCTGCCTCGGCTTCTGCAAATGTGCAAGGCCAACTATATACATGATTGGCAAGATTGGAAGAGGCAAGAGGTAAATCACAAAGAACAGACAGTAACCATTATGGAATGGCAAAATAGTTACAGTGGCCATTAATAAAGCAGTGGTGGCACTAATCCTATAATGCTAACATTGAGGTTTTTTTTAAAACTCTATTTGAGGATATGGGGGAACTCAAAGGCTATGAGATAGTCTTGTAGCTTCCCTAGTTTCCTCTGTTTGTTGTGGAACCAGATGGAACATTCTGAAGTATGGATGAATTGAGTTTCTGGATTAAAAAGATGTATCTGGAGAAGTAGAGCAAGTGGGAGAGATGTCAGTTACAATTATGTTACTATTTTGTTGTCATTCATGAAGGCTCACTTTCATATAGTATCATGTTGTCTTAGAAATGCAGCTACTGTTGTTGTGTTTTATATATACAGGTTGGTAATTACAATCGTAGATATTACGCGGTGCCCCGAGGAAGATGTAAGTACATATGTGTGATTTTTAAATCATGTTTTTTGAATAATGAAAAGTGTGGGCTCTAGACCGAGTTGCACAATGCAGGAATCTTGTTGAAGCTCAACAAGCCTGTGTCTAGCCAATGTTTGCTTGGCGGAACCATCTGTGAATCCCATGGATATTGAGTTAGTGTTCCTATAGGAAAGATACACTAGAAAGGAAAGGCGGAGAGCTATGGCAGAACTGTTGTCCCGTCTGAGCAAGATACAAAGTGAGAGTGTCATTAAAATTATATTCGCTTTAGGACATGGTTCCCAACCTTTTTTTTTTGACCAGGGACGATTTGACCAGGGACCACATTGACTAAGGACCACTTGACCAAGGACCACTTGACCAGGGACCACTTTGACCAGGGATCACTTTGACCAGGGACCACTTGACCAAGGACCACTTTGACCAGGGATCACTTTGACCAGGGACCACTTGACCAAGGACCACTTTGACCAGGGACCACTTGACCAAGGGCCATTTCACCAGGAACCACTTTAACCAGTGATCACTTTGACCAGGGACCACTTGACCAGGGAACACTTTGACCAGGAACCACTTGACCAAGGATCACTTGACCAGAGACCACTTTGACCAGGGCCCACTCGACCAAGGACCATTTCACCACTTTGACTCCTGAGAGTTTCACTAACAACAGGCAGTGTTATTTATTTGAGAAGAATTTAGGAAGTGAAAATAACTTTCTGGGATAATTAGAGTTGTGAAATATTAAAAATAAATACGTTTGGGGAAGAAAACCATTGCAATGAAGTGTAGAAAGGGAAGTGATTTTTCTCTCTCTCTTTAAAAGAGTTTCAGATTTGCTAACTGCTAAAAACAATATAGTGTACAATATGTTGTTGAAGGCTTTCTTGGCCAGAACCACTGGGTTTCTGTGAGTTTTCCGGGCTGTGTGGCTATGTTCCAGAAGCATTCTCTCCTGATGCTTTGCCCACCTCTATGGCAGGCATCCTTAGAGGTTGTGAGGTCCAATCAGAGGTCCAATCAGAAAAATTGGGTTTATCTATCTGTAGAATGTGCAGGGTGGGAGAAAGAGCTCTTGTCTGTTTGAGGCAAGTGTGAATGGTGCAATTGGCCACCTTGATTAGCATTAAATAGCCTCGCAGTTTCAAAGCTTGGCTGCTTCAAAGCTGGGGGAATCCTTTGTTGGGGAGTGTTAGCTCACTCTGATTGTTTCTTGTCTGTAATTCCCCTGTCTTCTGAGTGTCGTTTATTATTTACTGTCCTGATGTTAGAGTTCTTTTAAATCGAGAAAACCAAAGTGCTGTTCCAGCAGTCACCAGCCATCCCCTCCCCAATGCCAGAGATACAGCTTAATGGTGTAACATTAGAAAATGTTGACCATTTCCGCTACCTTGGCAGCCACCTCTTCACCAAAGTCAACATCGACACCGAAATGCAACACCTCCTGAGCTCTGTGAGTGCAGCATTTTCCCGAATGAAGCAGAGAGTGTTTGAGGACCAGGACATCCGTAGGGATACCAAGGTGCTTGTCTATAAAGCTATTGTCCTCCCAACCCTGCTCTATGCCTGCGAAACGTGGACTGTCTACAGACATCACATGCAATTCCTGGAACGATTCCATCAGCGCTGCCTCCGGAAAATCCTGCAAATCTCCTGGGAAGACAAGCGGACAAATGTCAGCATGCTGGAAGAAGCAAAGACCACCAGCATTGAAGTCATGGTCCTCTGCCATCAACTCCACTGGACCGGCCACGTTGTCCGGATGCCTGACCACCGTCTCCCAAAGCAGTTGCTCTACTCTGAACTTAAGAACGGAAAACGGAACATTGGTGGTCAGGAAAAGAGATTTAAAGATAGCCTCAAAGCCAACCTTAAAATCTCTGGCATAGACACTGAGAACTGGGAAGCCATGGCCCTTGAGCACTCCAGCTGGAGGTCAGCTGTGACCAGCAGTGCTGCAGAATTTGAGGAGGCACAAGTGGAGGGTGAAAGAGAGAAACGTGCCAGGAGGAAGGCGCGTCAAGCCAACCCCAACCGGGACTGCCTTCCACCTGGAAACCAATGCCTTCACTGTGGGAGAAGATGCGGGTCAAGAATAGGGCTCCACAGCCACCTACGAATCCACAAGGAAACCCATCATGGAAGACCATCTTACTAGTCCAACGAGGGATCGCCTAAGTAAGTAAGTAAGAGTTCTTTTTAATATTGGTAGCCAGATTTTGTTCATTTTCATGGTTTCCTCCTTTCTGTTGAAATTGTCCACATGCTTGTGGATTTCAATGGCTTCTCTGTGTAGTCTGACATGGTGGTTGTTGGTGTGGTCCAGCATTTCTGTGTTCTCAAATAATATGCTGTGTCCAGGTTGGTTCATCAGAGAAGTCATCTGCTATGGAGAACTTCTCTGGTTGATTTAGTCTGCAGTGCCTTTCATGTTCCTTGATTCGCGTTTGGGCAACGCTGCCCAATGGTAATCCTTATACAGACTTGTCCACAGCTACATGGTATACCACCAAATGCGGCACCCAAACACAAATCAAATAACATATACTCTCTCTCTTTGCAGACCTTAAGTCTCAGTTGGGCATGAGGACGCATTCTATTCTGCATAAAATTGTATGTTACGAAATCCCTACTCTTGCTTCATTGACCAGTATTTGTAGTTATCCACATATTGGGTTGCTGTGAGTTTTTTCAGGCTGTACGGCCATGTTCCAATAGCATTTTCTCCTGACGTTTCACCTGCATCTGTAGCAAGCTTCCTCAGAGGTTTGTTCAGAGGTCTGTTGGAAATCCAATCCATTTCTAACTCTTGTCTCGAGCAGCAACCAACCAGGCTTTGAAGCTGCAAGGCTATTTAATGCAAATCAAGGTGGCCAATTGCAACATTCACACTTGGCTCAAGCAGACACGAGTTCTTTCTCCCACCTTGGACATTCCACAGATATATAAACTCCACTTGCCTAGTTTTCAGCAGACCTCACAACCTCTGAAGATGTCTGCCATAGATGTGGGCAAAACATCAGGAGAGAATGCTTCTGGAACATGGCCATACATCCCGGAAAACTCACAGCAACCCAGTGATTCTGGTCATGACAACACATTATCCGCATATTGCTGTATTTGTGGTGAATCAGTGCCCTCTAGCTGTAATAATGAATCTTTTTTTAAATCTTTAACTAACAAGGTATTTGAAGACTGAAGTAAAGGTATGTAGCCTTTAGATACGTTAGTGGAAAGAAAAGAGAGATGGAGATGAGTTAATAAACTGAAAAGACATTGTAAGATGAGATCCTATGATTTGAGATGGCCTTTCACAATTTGACAGTTACTAGACATGTTGGACTCACACTATTTCCAGGCAACAGTTCTGTCATGGTCCCTATAGAAAAAAAAATCCAAGTTGCAGAAAGGAAAATGTAAAAGATCACAAAGAGACCTTTTGAAGGAGTCATTAAGAAAGTTTGATCTTCTGACGACCTCTATGCTATTCCTCTGTAAATCCAGTGGTCTAGCCCAACATTAACATTTTAAATGATGAGTTAATTAATTAATTAACATACTGAATGAAACATTTTCGGTGATCGGTGTTTAAAATAATGAATTGATAATGACAGGCATTTAATGTTCTTAAATTAATTTGGAAATTTAATTTTCTAAGCTCTGGTCAAGACTGGTTGATTGCCAGCATTCCTCCTGGGATGAAAGTCAGTGTAATGTAATGGTTTGCGCACCAAATGCTTGTGTGGGCCGCATGTGACCTGCTGGCAACATGTTGTGTAGGTCTGGTCTGCATCCTGTATCTGTGTGTAGTCTTTTTATAAATGCTGTAGTCATACTACAAAGCGATGGCGAAGTAGTTCTGATGTACCAGAGACCATCATAGGAAATGTTAATCTTTTAAAATTCATTTGTCAGAAAATATTTTTTACATTCAGATCACTGGGTATGTTTATTGCCTTTTAAACTGCCTTGAACAGGCAGGATTATTTCAAATATATGTGCTATTATGGATTTTAATGCTTATTTTGTCTTGTTAATTTTATGTTCATGCTGTTCTCTTTGTATAGATTGATTATGTCACTTGGAAACTGCTCTTAGTCCCCTTGGGGAGATAGAGCGGTATATAAATAAAGTTTTGTTGTTGTTCATTGTTTACCTTTTGCTCTGCTTTTTAGTGATTTTCAAAAGGCATTGAATGTTTGCCTATATATGTATATTGTTATCCACTATGAGTCCCCTCGGGGAGATAGAGTGGAATTTTATTAAAGTGTATTATTATTATTATTATTATTATTATTATTATTATTACTACTACTACTACTACTACTATTATTATTCAGGGCTGAACAAGTGTGATAGGTGTGGGGGGTAATTACTCTTCTTAGAAGCTGCTGTAGGCCAAAAATTCCAAAATTGAAAAACAGAGGTGGTCAGAAGTTAACGTCATTCATCCAACCAGTCATTCATTTCAAAGTATTTCTGTACATTCTCAAACATATTTGATGGGGGACTAAAATCAGAAGGGTCCTTTTAGATCCAGACATTTGTCCCCTTATGGTTGGGCAATCAGAAGGGTCTTTCCAAAAACACACATTAGAACAAGTGTAGCCTTGTTCAGCTCTGCAATAATGTTTTGCGAGATTGCCCTGAATTGGAATTTGGTCCTAGATGGGAGAAAAATGTTCTTCAGTACTACCAAAAGTATTTCCTACATAACTGAATATAAGAAAACATGGTATATGGCATGTACATTTCATTGGTAATTCTGCTTTTCCCCTTAGACGGTTGGAGGATATAACAACATAATTATATTATGGCCATCCCTGGTATGCTATGTTTTGCTGCTAGGAAAATTTATTTTTATTCTTGTGAAAGATGTGAGAGATCTTCTTGGCCTGGAGTCTGTAAGGGTGAGTGTTTTCTGATGACCCAACCAATCTGAATCCTTTGTGTATATCATACATCAAAAATTTCATTCCCAAATAGAACTGTCCTGAACAGGATAGTTAGCTAAAACTGAAATTGAACAAAGAATTGCTGTTGTTACTATGTTTATTTATACCCCATTTTTTCTTTCCACAAAGGAGCCTCAAAGCAAATTGCAGTAAAAGCATTTCCATACAATTTAAAATTCACAAATATACAAACATTAAAACAGGATTAAACATCAATGGTATTCAAAATTAACAGATAAAATGCATAAAACAGATTAAAAATGTATTTGAGGCTAAGACCACAGCACCCCCCTGTCTTGATCTTTAAAATCTTCCTTTTTTAAAAGCTTGCCTGGATGAAAAGATTTTAGCCTGCTGCCAGGAGCACAGCAGGGAGGAGGTTATCCTGGCTTCACTGGGAAGAAAGGAGTTCCAGAGTCCTGGGGCAGCCACTGAGAAGGAAGTCGCGCTCTCTCGTTCCCACCAACCAGGCTTGAGATGGAGGTGGGATCGAGAGAAGGGCCTGGGCAGGTTTGTTCAGGGGGATATAGTCAGCCACATAGCCTGGACGTGAACCATCTAGAGCAACCTGGGGGTCGGGACCCCTGAGGGGGTCGCGAGGGGGTGTCAGAGGGGTCGCCAAAGACCATAAGAAAACACAGTATTTTCTGATGGTCATGGGGATTCCATGTGGGAAGTTTGAGGCAATTCTGTCGTTGGTGGAGTTCGGAATGTTATTTGATTGTAATGAACTATAAATCCCAGCAACTACAACTCCCAAATGTCAAGATCTATTTTCCCCAGACTCCACCAGTGTTCACATTTGGGCATATTGAGTATTCGTGCCAAGTTTATTCCAGATCCACCATTGCATGAGTGCTCTCTGGATATAGGTGAACTACAACTCCCAAACTCAAGGTCAATGCCCATCAAACCCTTCCAGTGTTTTCCATTGGTCATGTGAGCCACGTTTGGTTCAAATCAATCGCTGGTGGAGTTCAGAATGCTCTTTGATTAGAAGTGAACTATAAATCCTAGCAACTACAACTCCCAAATTACAAAATCAATCCTCCCCCAACCCCACTAGCATTCACATTTGGGTGTATTGGGTATTTGTGCCCAGTTTGGTCCAGTGAATGAAAATGCATCCTGCATATCAGATATTTTCATTATGATTTATAACAGTAGTAAAATGACTGTTATGAAGTAGCAATGAAAACAATATTATGGTTGGGGGTCACCACAACATGAAGGACTGTATTAAGGGGTCACGGCATTAGGAATGTTGAGAAACACTGATCTAGAGCTTTAAAGGTCATAACCAGAACTTTGAATTGTGCCCAAAAATAGATTGGTAGCCAGTGGAGCTGTTACAACAGGGGTTGTCCCTGTAGCCAGCCTCAGTTAGCAACCTGGCTGCAGTTCTTTGGACCAACTCCAAGTCTCCAAGCAATCTTCAGAGGCAGCCCCCACAAAGAGCACACTACAATAATCCAGATGGGATGTAGCGAAGGCATGTACCATCGTGGGCAGATCTGGTTCCTCAAGGAATGGACACAGCACACAAGTTTTAATTGTGCAAAGGCCCTCCTTGCCACTGCCAATGCCTGGGCTTGCAGGTTCAATGCTGAGTCCAGGAGGACCCCTAAACTGTGAACCTTTGTCTTCAGGGGGAATGCGATCCCATGCAGCACAGGCTGAATCTCTATTCCCTGATCTACCTTGTGACTGACCAGGAGCATCTTGTCTGGATTAAGTTTCAATTTGTTTGCCTTCACCCAGTCCACTACTGATGACAGGCATGGTTTAGGGTCAGGACAGCTTGTTTGGCATTACATGGACAGGAGTAGTAGAGTTGGATGTTATCTGCATATAGGTGGTACCATAGTCTAAAACGCTGGATTACTTTTCCCAGAAGTTTCTCTCTCTCTCTCATCTATCTATCTATCTATCTATCTATCTATCTATCTATCTATCTATCTATCTATCTATCTATCTATCTATCATCTATCTCAGCATGGAGGACAAAACAGAACCCAAGGATCCTCATAGGACAATGGCCAGTGGTTCAAACAGGAGTCCACCAGCATCATTTTGGGGCGGGGCACAGTAACATCAGACGTTCTACCAAATTAGGGAGTTACTTGACTTTTTCCAAGTCAGAGAACCATAATAGTTGGCTGCTTTGCCATGCTAACTCCCCTACCCCACACCAGATACTAATCTTAACAGGTTACAGCTAGGGCTCTGCAGAGGTGAGGGTGACAGGGTGTTAGGTTTGGAATTCATTCATTTCAATTTAGGGCTGCCTCCAGAGCCTTTGCTATGGGTTTTGACCTATAGCCCATTCAGCATAGCAGCTGCTGGAGTTCTTAGTCCTGTGGGATATATGGCATGTTTGATTGCTGAGGCACTGATTCTCTCTGCCATGCTAACGTTATTGTTTTCTGTTAAGATTTTAGATCTGCTGTCAGGAAGCAAAGAGTTGTGGTTTGCAACCACAGAAAGGTCTACGTAGCAGTGCACTGGGCTCAACTGGGATTGGGTCAGCTGGCAACTGGTAGAATAGCTTAGCATAAGGAGCCTGCATTGGAATGGTCAGTTGCCTCTTTTGTTTGGAAGGTGCACAGGGCCTCATTAGATGTGATAGTAATTCCTTTGGGTGGTGATGACTTTGGGCTTGCTGAAGGGTAAGGTCCTCATTCATCACCATTGTCTCCGTTCAATGGTCCTACTGTTTCCTTGTTTTTCCTCTTGCTCCAAAATACTCAAATATTTTTATTATTTCTAAAAGCTTTAACTTTTCTGACTTTGGGTTGTTGTAGATTTTTTGGTCGGTATGGCCATGTTCTAGAAGTATTCTCTCCTGACATTTTGCCTGCATCTATGGCAGGCATTCTCAGAGGTTGTGAGGTCACAGACCTCACAACCTCTGAGGATGCCTGCCATTGATGCTGGTGAAACATCAGGAGAGAATGCTTCTAGAACATGGCCATATAAGACCGAGAAACCTACAACAATCCAGTGATTCCAGCCATGGAAGCCTTCAACAATACATTTTCTGGCTTTCCTCTTTATAAGTGCTGGCTGTTTTTTTGGGTTGCTCTTTAGCAAGTTCTCTCTTCTTCCATGTTTCAATAATCTAACCTGATCTGATGATAAAGTAGTAATTAGAATAGCTATAATAAGGGAATTCAATCTCCTAATGAGCTCATTTTAAATATGATGTCCATGGCTTTTTCTTGTATTCTGGGTAAGGGAGAATGTGGGAATTGTCCCAGGTCTTTGATGTGTTCTGAGCACATTGCCAGCGTAGCATGTCAAAGTGTTTGTGCTGTTTTCGCTATGTTTCCTATCGGTTATGTGGACCAACGAGGACAGGTCCAAGATAACCAGTCTTGTGTGTTTGGGCTCATTATATCAGATCTCTCAAAAAGTTTGCACAAGGAGTCGAAGGTCAAAAAATTAATGAGCTAAAATAATATTTCCTAAAATTGAATGGTGATAATTATTAGCTGCTTAATGTTCTAACTGTTAAGTGTAATTCCTGGAACCTGACCTTTCTCCTCTCCCTGATCTATTTAGGAGGATAATTTTCTTCTGGAGGATCATCAGGCACAGTGTGTTCAACTTCTGTTGAGGAAGCCTCCACTACAGTGAGTATCTTTCTGTTCTTGGGGCATTTTCACTTTCAAATTGAAAAAGGAACCCTATAGAATAGTTCCATGTGATAATAATCCCCAAACCGGACATGCTTCCATGGTAACTAACTGGCAGGAATGGATGGGCTTATTCAAAGGAGAGTCGATAAGCAAATGAGAGCAGTATGTGTGAAAAAGATCTTGGAGTCCTTGTAGACAACAAGTTAAACACGTGCCAACAATGTAATGCAGCGGCAAAAAAAGCAAATGGGATTTTGGGGTGCATCTAGAGCATAGTGTCTAGATCAAGGGAAGTCATGCTACCCCTCTATTCTGCCTTTGTCAGAAGACAGCCTCTGCCAATGCATTCAATCCTACTTGATGAAGGAGGACTTGTTTGCACAAAGGGCTGTTCTATCAAAGTCCTGTTTGCTCTCTGTTTCATCTCCCTCCAATAAACAATGTTTGCACAGAACATGTTTTTCATAGTTATCAGGATAGAGTCACCAGCTTTTTGGGTTATGAGGTAGAGCAGTCTTGCCATTCTTTCGTTGAAAATGAAACACCAGAAGACCTGATATGTGGAGATGATGACAGCAGAACAAATAAGTGAAAGAAAAAGAAGAAAGCTTGAGGGCTACCTATGTTCATGTAAAGCCAAAGATTGACAAGAGTTTCTCCTATTCTGGAAAGGCACAAGCTATCAGTTTGGTGCCACCATTCAAGGGACAAGAATTAAACCTTGCTTTGGCTCCTCCAAACCGTCTTTCTTGGCAAACGATGGCACTCGTGATAGGAAGGTTTAGTTCAAACATTGAAATGAGACAACAATGCTAGTCTTCTTCTGGGAAATTTAAATTCTGAGGGAGGAATGGAAGAAAAGAATTGTGCTCTCATTATTTTTTAAAAATGTAACTCCTTTCCTATATATTTTGTCTATCAACAGGCAGCTACAGAAATCCTGGATCAAAAGCAGGCTGTATGAATGGGATTCCAACTTTAAATTCCCAAGCAGGATGATCAGTACATCAGTGCTTGTCGTCATCTGCCTTTACATGGTAATGGAGCTCCATAGGGTGATTCTATCAGCAAGAAAACAGTTGCTTAGTATATCAGTTGCTAAACAGGAAAACATTTCCACCTCAGCTTGAATGAAAGCAACATCTACTGCCACCAGTCTCTAATGTGAGCCGCAGTGGCGCAATAGGTTAATACCCTTGTGCTGCTGAACTGCTGATCTAAAGGTTGGGTTGCTGACCTGAAGGTTACCGGTTCAAATCTGTGAGATGGAATGAGCTCCTGTTAGTCAGCTCTAGCTTGCGGGGACATGAAAGAAGTCTTTCAGCTAACAGATCTGGGTGTTCCCCAGGAAATGTCTCTGTAGACAGCCAATTGTCTCACACCAGAAGCGACTTGCAGTATGTTCTCAAGTCACTTCAGACATGATAAAAAACCCAAAAACAAAACAGTCTCTAATCAGCAACTTGGCAGAATTATTTCCAGTGTGATGAAGGCATATGAAGACAGAAATAGTTAATCATTGCAGTGGATTAAACCCCTGTGCCAGCAGGACTGAAGACTGACAGGTTGCAGGGAGAGCGCAGATGAGTTCCCTCTGTCAGCTCCAGCTCCTCTTGCGGGGACATAAGAGAAGCCTCCCACAAGGATGATAAAAACATCAAAAACATCCGGGTGTCCCCTGGGCAATGTCCTTGCAGACGGCCAATTCTCTCACACCAGAAGCGACTTCCAGTTTCTCAAGTCGCTCCTGACATGACAAAAAAAAAAGAAGATTGCAGTTAATAATCATGTGCCTGGAATAATTCTAATGCTTACTCTAACCCATGTGTCTCATGACATGTGCAAAATAAAAACACCGCTACTACTACAACAGTCCCTCCCTTTTGCTTTTTCCAAATCAGCCAATAGAGTTTCTTGCTGAAAACAGCACATTAATGTTTTTGTGGTATTAAATGTATCAATTGAAAACAGTGTCAGACAATAGATACTTAGGTGTAGAGCTTTCCCTACTCTCAGGCTCTCCAAATATTGTAAAATATAACCTCCATTTTTCCTGCCTGCTAGTCATTCTGCCTCTGGCTTGGGGGACCTATACTCTCAGATCTGTGGTTCCCAATCTTTGGTCCTCCAGGTGTTTTGGACTTCAGCTCCAGTTATTCCAAACAGCTGGTAAGATGGCTGGGATTTCTGGAAGTTGAAGTCTAAAACACCCAGAGGACCAAAGGTTGGAAACCACTGCTCTCAAATGAAGGGAGCACTGGATTGTGGAAGGCTACAGACATAACTTTTATATCAGGAGTGAGAATGATGCAGCCCTCCAGATGATGTTGAGTGATGTCTTCCATAATCCCTCAACATGGACTTGGCTGGGGAGGAAGTTGAGAAAGATCTGTGGCCCACTCCTTGTTCAATAACAAGGCAGAAGATGTTGTTTTGTTGGGGCTGGGTCCACCAGAGATGCAAGTTTATTCGATGCTTAGACCATAGGTCTTTCACATACAAGTCAAGGCAAATAAATAAATAAATAAATAAATAAATAAATAAATAAATAAATACATGAACACCAGATTATCAAATACAATATAAAATACACAATAAAATCCTATAAATCATTAAAATGCTACATATAACGATGGCAAGATGCACCTTTAAAATACTACATAATGTGTAGACTCATACCTGCGTAATTAAAAACCAAGTAAAAGCAAATAGATACAGCATTATTAAAACTACATAAACAGCCACTATTAGTTGAAAGCATCCCCAGCACAGTCAACTGCAATATCAGAGATTAGTTTTGCCCGGATTTTCTGTGCTGCCAGGGCAAAAAGAGACACCTTATGAGTAACCACGGGATTAATGTCAGCCAAGAGATAGAAAATCTTTGCGGACACAGTGTTGGTCTGAAGGAGGTGAAGAATAAACCCCAGGATGTTGGTTCTTGGTTCAGAATACAAAGGGCAGAAAAGCAAATAGTGAGGCAGATCCTCAATTTCCGGGGGCCCGCAAACACATAAACGAAGAGCTAGAGGGGTGCCCGTATATCTGCCATCAATCACTGCTGTGGGCATACTTTGAAACAAAGGGCAGTGAAGGCTTGTCTAAGTTTTGGAAATGTGAGCCTAGTCAAGTAGATAGCCCTATCATGGTCAAGTTTGTACAGTCTAAACCAGTGGGAGAATTTGGAGTTATTAATGGCCTGCCTATCATGGTGGGCACAATTATTAAAAAAATATTCCTGGAGTTTCTCCCTTGAGTTCAAGATAGAAGGCTTATCAGACAGAGTGGGGTGAAATTCCAGCAGCTTCTGGTATCTAGTGTTCCAGACTTTGCATTTTGCTAGTTGTTCAAAACATCCCTTGGGAAGAACCCTAACTGAGGAGTCTTTTACATTTCTCCAATAATTAAATAGGGTAAAATGAACACGTGATCTAATGGAAGGGAGATCAACCTCTGCCCGGACCAAGGCTGCCGGGGTGCCCGGTGGGAGTCTCAGTAGTTTCTTAAGAAATGTGTTCTGGAGAGCCTCCAGTTTTGCTGTCTGAGACTCATCCCATCCCCAGACAGCAGCACCATACAAAATCTGGGCTATAACTTTACTCTGAAATATTTTAAGGGCTGGGACAACTAGATGACCCCCTGCAGTGTTGTAGAATCTGAGTATTGCTCCAACAGATTTCAAAGCTACTGCTTTAGTGTGTTCTACATGGGGTTTCCAGGATAGTCTTTCCGTAAAATGGATTCCAAGGTACTTAAATTCCTGACATTGTTCTATTTGGTGACCCCTGATGGACCATCTGTGTTGAGAGTGTCTTCTTCCAAACACCATTACCTTTGTTTTATTATAGTTGATGTTCAGCTTTTCTTTATAACAATATGCACCAAGCTTAGAGAGCAGACTTCTCAGGCCAATTTAGGTAAGTGAAATTAGAACCATGTCATCTGCATATAATAGGATGGAGATTTTCTTGGATCCTACTGCAGGTGGAAGAAATTCTGGCCCCAAGAGTGCAGGTATTATATCATTCAAGTAAAGGTTAAAGAGTATTGGTGCCAATAGACACCCTTGTTTTACTCCTTTATTAGTGTGAATGGGGTCAGTCAATGAGCCAGAAATACCAACTCTTATTCTAGCTGTGGTATTAGAATAAAGTGCCTTGATTAGAAACAGTAGGCGCTTATCCATATTGGTGCTGGCCAGCTTATGCCACAACAGGTTTCTATCGATTGAATCAAAAGCTGCTGCTAAGTCGACAAAGGCAACAAATAGGTGTTTGGTAGGTCCAGCAGTTGCTTGTTGGGCTAAGAAATACAAGGTTAGACAGTGGTCAATCGTACTCTGTCCTTTTCTGAAACCAGCCTGTTCTGGGTGGATGATTTGGTTATTGAATTCCCAGTCCTCTAATTTGTTTAACAGGTGTTTACTATATAACTTAGAGTCAATATCTAAGAGACTAATAGGGCGATAGTTGTTGGGATCTTGTTTATCACCTTTCTTGTAGATGGGGACAACTATGCTCTGTTTCCAGCCCTCTGGGATTGTGCCTGTGTTATTGATTTGTGAGAACACTTTGGCTAATATTGGAAAAATGTTTAAATATTTCTGGGGGCATCATATTTTCCCCTGGGGCCTTACTCAGAGCCAGGGCTGCAATCAATTTCTTCACCTCAGAAGATGACACAGGGGACCAATAAGGCAAACATGTGGTATTGGGAACACTGGTAGGATGGTTTTCTGAAGAAGTAGCTCCGTAGAGCTTGCTAAAATGGTCAAACCATTGCTGTGTTGAAATATGCCCAAGGACTACTGGCCTGACCGTATGCATTCCAGTTGAAATAATATCCCAGAACTGCTTCTCATTTTTTTCCGACACAGCTAATGCTAATTGGTTCCACTGAGCTCTAACGTGTGTGTCTTTTTTCTGCTTTAAGAGTGCTTTATACGAAGCCCTCATCTGAGCTAGACTTGCAGTGACAGTACTATCCTTGTTTCTAAGTATATGTTTGGAATACTCCATTAGAGCTAGCCTGGCGCTTCTGCATTCAGAATCAAACCATCTGTTAGTTCCCACCTTGTTGGGGTTTAGTTGTTTGGGTCTGAGATTTTGAATGATGAATTGATAGGCATGGTTATGTAATCTGTATAAATGTCTATTTTCCACCTAGATTATCAAAAAATGGAGACCCTAATAATGTCTGGTTTAGACTATCTGAAACCCTCACCTGTTTGGAATGCCAATACCCCTCCACAAAGCTCCTCTTGTGTGGAGATTTTAATGCTAGAATTGGGATGGGTGTTAAACATGTGGAAGGCACTAACTTCAGACAAGATGACCAGGTTACATCTGCCGACAGGGTCTCTCAAGATACAATCAGAAACAAGGCCGGTCTGAGTTTCTTAGAGATGCCCTCCTTGTATCAATTGCACTGCCTTAATGGGACACAGTGTCGGGGCTGACTTCTTTCAGTTTCACAGATACCCAGCTATTTCATTGTTTTGCCCAATCTAGAACATATAATGGATTTTGTCGAAGGCTTTCGTGGCCGGAATCACTGGGTTGTTGGAGGTTTTTTTGGGCTATATGGCCATGGTCTAGAGGCATTCTCTCCTGACGTTTCGCCTGCATCTATGGCAAGCATCCTCAGAGGTAGTGAGGTCTGAGGATGCTTGCCATAGATGCAGGCGAAACATCAGGAGAGAATGCCTCTAGACCATGGCCATATAGCCCGAAAAATAATGGACCCCCAGGAATCCATATAATGGATTGTTTTATTGTGTGATTTTGCTTTTAAGATATTCAGACTAATTGTTGCTGTTTCATATGTCCTCCAGGTTGCCACTTACGAATATATTTTTGTCGCCTGGGTTATTCGAACATTCAGTCCTGTACTCGATGGTTTTGCTGCATCGATATTTGCTGATGGATCTCCAAAAACCAAAGAAATTTACTCTGCTATTCAAGAATTTGGAAGTGTCTTAAAAGGTAAACCATGTGGGTTAGAGGCATATTATATGAGATTCTAAATTAAGCATGATTTTATGTGTATGGTGCCAGTTGCTTTGGTCTAAGTATAATTCTTAGGCAAAAATTTATTTATTTAATTTATTTAAAACTTCTATATCCCGATCTTCTCTACCTCCGTAGAGGGACTCAGACCAGCTGCATGAGAGTGCTTGCCTGTAATTTTTACACATTTGTTCATAGTCTTTTTCTCCCCTGAGGAGCTTTCAGACTTATTATTTCTGATGTTACCCCATACATGATTTTTGCTCCAGATTCCCTTCCTTCCAAATGCTGAGGTTTCATCATTTAAACTCATAAAAGAGGATGTAGCTCAAAAGTAATGCCTTCTTGGTTAGAGCAGAGAGCTGTCTCCTAAGCAGGTTTTTTTTCTACCTTGCTCCAATTTCCCTGAGCCCTGAGTGAAAGGAAGGTCACTTCCTCTACTGTGTTCACAAAGCCTTAGCCACTGCACTGTGTTTTTGGGGTCACTACTTGGTGATTTGTCTTAGTCATGTTCAGAACAGACAGTTGCATCTAAAGGGCTGAGCATTTAGTGGAAAAAAGAGCAACTGTCATTCCTGAAGATCTGCCCCTTTCCCCAATTTCCAGTGGCACGAACTATAGCCACTGGGAGAATAAGGAAATTCTGTGCCTCCAGCCTTTCTTAGCAAATTCTAGGGTATTTTGACCATTGTCTTTCTATGACACATATTACCAATAATAATAATCATCCTCATCAGCAGCAGCAAGGAAGCTGATGAAACCATGGATCATATCCTCAGCTGCTGCAAGAAAATCGCACAAACGGACTACAAACAGAGGCACAACTCTTTGGCCCAAATGATTCACTGGAACTTATGCCACAAGTACCACCTGCCAGTAGTAAAGAACTGGTGGGATCATAAACCTGCAAAGGTAGTGGAAAATGAACACGCAAAAATACTGTGGGACTTTCAAATCTAGACTGACAAAGTTTTGGAACACAATACCCCAGATATCACAATTGTGGAAAAGTAAAAAGTTTGGATTATTGATGTTGCCATTGCAGGTGGCAGTCGCATTGAGGAAAAACAACAGGAAAAACTCAGCCATTATCAGGACCTCAAAATTGAACTACAAAGGCTCTGGCATTAACTAGTACAGGTGGTCCCAGTGGTCATTGGCACACTGGGTGCTGTACCAAAATATCTAAGCCAGCATTTGGAAACCAAATCTGTCAACTGCAAAAGGCCACCTTACTTGGATTTGCACACATCATTTGAAAATACATCACACAGTCCCAGATGCTTGGGAAGTGTTCGACTTGTGATTTTGTGATATGAAATCCGGCATATAGATCTCGTTTGCTGTGACATACTGTGGTGTCAGTAAAATAATAATAATAATAATAATAATAATAATAATAATAATAATAACAACAACAACAACAACAACAGCTTAATTTTTATACCCTGTCACCATCTCTCTGAAGGGACTCGGCGCGGCTTACAAGGTGACAAGCCTGAAAATACAAAGTAAAAACATACACAATAAAATAAAATAAAAACAAATGTAAAATCAACAACAGCATCAGAAAAAAAACAGTTCCAATCACAAGTGCATATTTTAAAAACAGTATACCCAGACACTTGCATTCAGAGCACCCCAACAGATGGCCATCCAGCCTCTGTTTAAAAGCATCCAAAGAAGGAGCCTCCACCACACTCCAAAGCAGAGAGTTTCACTGCTGAACAGCCAGGAAGTTTTTCCTAATGTTCAGGTGGAATCTCCTTTCCTATAGTGGGAATCAGAAGGAGATTCTTTACTTTGAGTACTACTCATCATGAGCTTAGTTGTCTGCCAGGATACCTTTTGTCAGTGACCCCTTTTTTTTTTGTAGAAATAGGAGTGTTAGTGCTACTATTCCCTCACAAAGATGAGGGATAAAGCCACCCTAAATAGGCCTTCTAGGGATTTGTGTCCCCAGAACACACACACACACACACATAAGAGATAGTAGGTTTCTAAGCTAGATATTGATTGGGAATACTAGAAGGAAATGACACTGACTAAAACTGGCAACTTCTTGTTCTACAGGTGTTTGGCAGTTCAGCTTGATTACTTCCAGTTTCACATGCTTCATTTATGTAGCTCATCTCTTAGTCTGCTACAGGTAAGTATATCCTCTGGGTTATAGGGGCCTGGTGTAGAAATGATATTGATCATTGTCCAGCCTTGATTGGGCCATTAAGAATGCTGTTTCTCTTCCTTGCTGCTTTATGAGTATACCTGACATTATTTTTAAAGAAAATATGTTAGGCAGGCACAATGTTCTTGCTATCATCTTTGCCAGCCATGGTTCATGATAATGATAAGTCAACAATTCCCAAACATGGATAATAAGAGTTTGCTAAACTGTGGTTTGATCTAATGATGATGGGGGAAAATGCTGGTGCCCTCGATTTTTTTGGAGTGGGGTGAACTCTCGTCATAAGCCACAGCTTCTGCCAATCTAAAAGTTCAAAAACATGCAAATGTGTGTAGATCAATCGGCCATGTGACCTTGGAGGTGTCTACGGGCAATGCTGGCTCTTTGATTTAGAAATTGAAATGAGCGCCACCCCCCAGAGTCAGACCAAATTGTGTCCAAATTTGGTGTCAATTCGTCCAGTGGTTTTTGAGTTAGGTTAATCCCACACACTAACATTACTTTTTTAAAAATATAATCTTTATTAAGTTTTCAAGCACATATAAAAATAACATGAAAACACAGGGAGATGGGGTAAGGGTAGAGGTATAGCTGTAGTCCCTCATTTCTTGATACAAATATGCGGATGTATCTGCATAAACGAACATGTATCTTCCAAATATGTCAATCCTTTTGCTCACCTACATACCGACATACACCACAAGACAAGACACAACATAGCACGACATAATTAAAAGTGACTTCCATTCTGTTTCCCAATGGGTTATCAATCTATATCTTTTGCTCTCCCTTTACTTTCGGGGGAGCTGGGATATTTTTTTTTTACCCTTCCTTCTTCGTATTTTATGCTATCTTCCTCTCTCCTTATTTATTTTATTTTAGTGTTTTTAAGTGTCATCTATTTTGCCATATTCATATTCCTCCAGGCAGGACCAGTCCGTCATGTTCGCTGGTCTTCCCAGGCTGTTTCTTAGGAGGAATGTCAGCTTATCCATATCCCTTATATCTAGTAATTTATCCAGCCATTGTTCAGTAGTGGGTATGTGCTCTTCCTTCCAGTGTTTGGCAAAAGTTAATCGTGCAGCAGTGGTTATATGTGTGAAGAGCACGTCCTCGTTGTTACTTAGGTTTAGATTTTTGTCCGTAAGACCTAACAAGAAGTATTCTGGTTTCTGCGGAATACTTCTTTTTAGGATTTTTTTGGGTCTCTTCTTGTATGGCTCGCCAATATTTGATGGATTCTGGGCAAGTCCACCACATATGGTAGTAGCTTCCTGTATGTTTTTTACATTTCCAGCACAGGTTTGGGTATTTTTTATACATTAGACTCAGTTTTTTAGGGGTCATATGCCACCTGTGGAAGGTCTTCAACCACATTACATTTTTATTTATATAGATGACATAGGGCAGCATTAGAGATATTGTGTGTGTGTGTGTGTGTGACATGCATTTTATGTAACATTTCAATTCAAGATGTTTGTTGTACCAGCAAATGGACCAGAGTTTGGAAAAGTTGCTACTTAGGACTATAACTCCCACCATCTCTCAGCAAGCATAGCCATGTTGGGAAATGTAAACTCAAAAGTAGCTTTTCCAAGAATGGAAATGGATTATGATTTTCCTTTGGTCTTCAGGTGGAATTGAACCCTTCTACCACTGTCATTAATAGCCCTTAAAGTGTAGTGGATTACAAGTTTCTCTAGTAGCAGTGCATATGAAATAGGGATCTGGTGGGCTTTTCTATTTTTGAGCCTTACACATCTTTTGAATTTTTTTCCTTGAAAAGTCCATGAAGTGTTTTGAGTGAACACTTCTCTTTGTCAGGGCTTCATAATGTTTTCAGTACTTTATTGCCAATGTTAGCTTTTATATATCTCTCTCTGTAGTACTTTTCATGCATACCAAAAGTATGAATGTGGCTATGAGAAGTGTGGTAGCTTTCACATGTTCCAATGAACTAGTTTTAAAAATAATGTTTTGTTGTTTTCTTTCCTAGAACACAAATAAGGCTGCTCCGTGCAGGCAAGAAATCTCTTTTTCTGTCAGATGATTTTAAGGTGTCGCCTCCTCACAGTGTGGTGAGTTTTAAAAAATATCCTCAGGTATTTTAGTGATCTGGCAAATTTGAAGCTTTGTTGCGCTGTGTTGACAGCTGGCTTTTCAGTACCATCAATACTTCTGCTCTTTGAGATTGCAGAGGACTTTGCTGCTAAGAAAATAATCCATGGATATAAAGATTGGCATAAGCAATAAAGAAGCATAGGAAGTGTGTGACAATCTATGAATTGAAAGCATGGAGCTAGTAATTTCTTTTTTTAAGATACTAGGAAATTTATTTTGCATTACCTGGATTCATATGGATGATGCAGATTGGACCAAAAACTTTCATTTTCCAAAAACAAAATACAGCAGGATTGAAGAGAAACAACTAGAAAAGCTGACAAGATATGAGGATTTAAAGATCGAACTGCAAAGACTCTGGCACAAGCTAATCAAGCTGATCCCAGTGGTGATCGACACACTGGGTGCAGTTACTAAAGACCTTGGTCTGCACTTAAACACAATTGGCGCTGAGAAGATTACTATTTGTCAGCTACAAAAGGCCACCCTATTGGGATCTGTACACATTATTCGCTGTTACATCACAGAGTCCTAGACACTTGGGAAGTGTCCGATGTGTGATCCAGTACAACAGCCAGCAGAGTGATCTTGTATGCTGCATACTAATCTTGTTGTGTTTCAAATAATAATAATAGTCATCATCATCATCATCACCATCACCATCACCATCATCATTTATATTCTGCTCAATCTCCATAAACAGAAGTATAGGCTTTCCTAGCACTTCAAAATGTGAGTAGATAAATAGGTACCGCTTCAGTGGGAAAAGGCAAGGAGCCGCTCCAAGCAATCTTGCCAGTCACACAACCAGGAGGTACCAATGTAGGCTTGAAAATGGAGAAATACACCTTCCCAGAGCCAGAGATGAGAACTGCCCCCAGAAGCCGGAAATGAAACTTCTGCCTATGTTTGTATTTGTGTTTGTGTGTCTTATTGTATTTGATTGTAAAGGCACTGAATGTTTTCAGATGTGTGTAGATGCTATAATCTGCTCTGCGTCCCCTAGGGGAGAACGGCGGAATGTAAATAAAGTTTATTATTATTATTATTATTAGAAATAAAACAAGATGAGTTTCACAGCAAACAAGATCACTCTGCTGGCTGTTGTTTTGGATCACACGCGGACACTTCCCAAGTGTCTAGGACTGTGTGATGTATCGGCAAATAATGCGTGCAGATCCCAGTAAGGTGGCCTTTGCAGCTGGCAGATGGTAATCTTGTCAGCGCCTATTGTGTTTAATAATAATAACAACAACAACAATAATTATTATTGTTGTTATTTCTTCTTCTTCTTCTTCTTCGATGGTATTTGTGAGATACATGCATCAATAAACTGTCCTTTTGTTTGTTTGCTTTAACAGGTTTCATCAGGAAAATTTACCTCTTGGCAAGTTGCTTATATATTATGGGGTATGTGAACATCTGTGCTTCAAGCATGTCAGATGAGTTATATATTTGTTTAATATTTTCTCCATTTTGTTGACAACTTGTGTTTTCTCTGCTAGGATTTTCAGTCATGCAGCTTGTGATTATGGTGTTTGGCATGGTCATCATGTATATTATAATTTTGCCCATGAAGCATGGTCAGTGGAAGCAACTTCTTGACAAATGGGGAACTGTCATGTAAGTGTCAGCAGCCATAATAATCACCTTGCTCTTCCTGCCTTTAAAAACAGACCCAACGTGATCATCTCTGCAGTTGTCAGCAAGATAGTCTGGTTGCACAGAATGTAATTTCCAGTCAGTGTGGGTTAGAGACCCTTGGTTGCCTCTCCTTTAACACTGACTTGAAAAAATGCGTGGATAGTCATTACCGATCCATCTATATAAATAAAAATGTAATGTTCATTTGTGGGATTAACATAACTCAAAAACCACTGGATGAATTGACACGAAATTTGGACACAATACACCTAACAGGCCAATGAGTGTACATCACCCATAAACACACACACACACACATGCACAAACACACACAAAACCCCAGTGGAACAGACTTAAAAACCAAAAAAATACATATATACACATACACATACAGTCATATACGTATGCACACATTCATACATGCACACATATATATATGCACAAACACACACAAATATACACATATACACACATATATATACATACACACATATATACAAATACACATGGACATATTCATGCACACACACACACACATATATATATACATATACACACACATATACATATACGCATACATACATACATATATACACACAAATATGCATATAGACAAGCACACACATATATACAATATTCATGTACACATATAAACACACAAATACACAAATATATACACCCATATATACACCTATATATATATATATGTGTGTGTGTGTGTGTGTGTGTGTGTGTGTGTGTGTGTGTGTACATATGTGTGTATATATTTGTGTATTTGTGTGTTTGTGAAAGTATATATATATATAGATAGATACACACACACACACACACATACATACATATATACACACGCAAACACACGTATATACACACACAAAACACATATACACAGACTGGGCCACAGCAACGCGTGGCAGGGGATGGCTAGTTGAATATATTAAATAATTGAGATTCTGCAGAGTAAGCATCTGGGATAATGTATGTGTTAGTTATTTTCATTTTCAGAGACTCCACAAGATCTTGCACCAGAAGTACATTTATTAAAACTCAAAGAATTGCAAATGTTATCAATTTCATCTCCCTACCGTGCAGGAACTCATTCATATTATGGAATAAATGCTCATGGATTGTGGGCCCTTCCACACAGCCATATAACCCAGAATATCAAGGCAGAAAATCCCACAATATCTGCTTTGAACTTGGTTATCGTGAGTCCACACTACCATATAATCCAGTACAAAGCTGATAATGTGGGATTTTATTCAGCTGTGTGGAAGGGACTTCAGACCACTTCAACTGATTCCGCAAATTCATGCCAGAAAACACTTTGCTTCTCTATTTTGGCAAATGAGATTATCATGGGAAGCTCTGGCAAAGGATCCTTCCACACAACCCTATATCCCAGAATATCAAGGTAGAAAATCTTACAATATTTACCTTGATCTGGGTTATCTGAGTCCACACTGCCATATATTTAAGTTTAAAGCAGATATCGTGAGATTTCCTGCCTTGATATTCTGGAGGCCCTTCCACATATCCCATAATATCAAGGCAGAAAATCCCACATTATCCGAGTGTGGACTCAGATAACCCAGGTCAAAGCAGATATTGTAGGATTTTCTGCCTTGATATTCTCGGATATTGGGCTGTTTGGAAGAGCCCTAAGTTATATGGTTGTGTGTAAGGGCCCTAAATCGCTACCCCTTTGATCTTAACTTTTGAAAATACTGTTGAAAATGGATATTGGATCTAGTCATTCATTCAGGCCTTAAGTCCTGGAGAAAGACCTGGCACTGCCCAATGCAGACCATCCATTTTTCATTCCTAGCCTCCAGTAGTCTTCACCAATACTGATCCATTGTCCTTGTGGTTTGTTTACTTGGCTGTGCCTTCTTGATCTTTTGTCTTCCAGCCTTTCTCTTGCTATTGTTATGTTTATCAAGAAGATGCAAGTTTATTTGGCTGGCATTTTTTTCCTTCAGCCGAAGCTTTCGCCAAAAGACAAGCAAAAACCTTTGGCACTTGATAACAGGTTAGTGTCAGGAACCAAGAGCCTTCCTGTGATTCATTTCCTGGAATAAAGCTTTTCCACTGGACACCACCACCCCATTGTTGAAAGATACTGAAAGATACCCCACTCCCTCCCCCTGCCAGTGTTTCCTCTCAAACATGCTAAACTGTCTGCTTGTCTTTTTTGTTTGCTTTTACCATCCTCTTAATGGTAGGTTACATACCTGTGACCATCTTTCTTCGAGTGGTGCTCTGCGAATTCACACTTGTGGAGA